GGGCCTGGCCGCGAGCAGAGGAGGAGCTGCGCGCCGCGGAGCCGGGCCTAGTCAAGCGCGCGCACCGCGAGATCCTAGACCACGAGCGCAAGCGGCGCGTAGAGCTCAAGTGCATGGAGCTGCAGGAGATGATGGAGGAGCAGGGGTGAGCGAGGAGGCGTGGCGGAGTGGGCCTGGCCACGTGGGCGTGGTCAGATCTCTGGTGGGCGTGGCTTGCCCTGAGTCTGGCGAACGGGGAACCCCGGGAGCCTGGTCCAGGCAAGGGGCGGGGTCTGGACCAGCTGGGCGGAACCATTGCGCACCACCTTTCATTCGTTCATTCATTCGTTTATTCAACCTTTATTCAACAAGCAGTCTTTGAACCCCTGCTCTGTCTAGCTCCCAGGCTCTGATTCTCAGATGCTAAGGAAAGACAGACCCCACCCTTCAGAAACAACCAGCTCCATGGAGAAGAGATGTGAAAACAGCAATGACAACCCAAGGCCTCAGTTTCCCCGTCTATAAAATGGGTGAATGGAGCTGCCATGCCAGTACTACAAAGATGTGAGAGCGCATAGGGGCCCTCACTATATGCCAGGGCTGACTGCAACCAAAGGAGTCACCTGCTGGGCTCAGAGCCCAGCTGTAGTCATTTCCTGTCCTCGAAGACCCTCTCCCCCCACACACACTGACTCAACTGCAAAAGCGTGTTAACACCTGCCACAGAGCAGGTTAGAATCACGGCTGAAGGACAGGGCAGGAGAGCACTTCAGGAGCTCAGAGGAGAGATTCTGAGATGGGAGGGAAGGCTGCCAGAGAGAACATTTGTGTAGGCTGAGGATGCGTAGGAGTTTGTCCCGGTGAGGAGCAGGGGCCTGGGGCATCTCCAACGATACAACTCATGCGTCAGTCAGTAGAGGTTTAGGGGTCTCACTACTCCCACGTCCCTTGCTCATTGAGTTGGAGGCAAAGAAGCAGAGCACAAAGCCATCTCATTAGTGCCACTCCAGAGGAGTGAGTGCCCCGAGTGTCCTGGAATGAGTGGGCCAGCTGCCACGGGGATCAGAGTGGAGAGCGGGACCTGCCCAGAAGCAGCGTTTGCCTGGGGTGGGGTTTGGAGCCCCTTAGAGCATGGCAGAATCCTTTTGTTCATCCCTGCATCTGCCATCAGGCCTCCTGGGCTCCCCCAAGACACGGGCCAGCGTCGCTGTAGAGCTCAGGGAAAAAGACACTGAGGCTCAGAGACAGCCACTTGCTGAATGAAGGTGAAGGAAAGTGGCGCCAGGGCCGAGCTCGGGTCTGAGGCAGGGCAACCTACAGGGAGGAGAAAGGGACCGAGGGACCTGTGCGGCAGGGTGCTGAGGGCAGGCAGAAGGGAGGCTCCCAGCTGGCGGTGAAAGCACTTGATGAGCTGTAAGTTTTGGAGGAGGAAAGGAGGTCCCAGGGACAGAGCTGAGGGGGAGAGCGGAGAGAACCCCAGGATCTTCATGGAAGAAGATCCGTGCTGAATTGTGGGATCCCGGAGAGGGAGAGGAGAGTGGCCGGTGGGTGTGGGCAGGAAATGAGAATAGACAGAGATGGGCAAGGACCAGCCTCTGCTCTTTACTGCCCACCCCATCCTTTCACTGGACCCCCAGGACCCCTCGCTCACTGGCCCAGAGCAGGAAGCAGCAGTGTGGGGTCCCCTCCTTGGTGTTAGACTCCCAGCATGAAGGACCCTGCCTGTCTGGGAAGCATCCACTAGATCTCCCCAAGTTCTTTCCCTACCCAAGACCCACCTCCACCTGATCCGTAGTCTGGATTCTCCCCTAAAAGCTAGCAGTGGGGTTACCCCGCACAACCTTCCCCACCCCTTAGCAGCAGCCACTCTTCGATACCATGATCCAAGCTCACGGCTGTAACTTGACCTTGGTCAAGCCACGGTTTCCTCACCTGCACAACTGGGACACCTGCCCTCCAGGGTGGTTCTGAAGGACCAAATCACAAACAGGCCAGTCCCCACAAAGCGCCCAATAAAGCAAGGGACCCATGTGCTTTTCCAAACTCTAGTCATTAATATCCATTCCTAGAAACACTGGTTGGTTCACATTTATTTACCAGGTTCTCAGGCATTTGACAAATGTCCCCACCAGCCACAGCAACACACACTCTTTGGTTCCATTAAAAAGCAACCCTTTTCCTTAATATTGATGGATAGCCGGCTAATTCATTGGTGATTGATTTTGCATTTGAAGTCACCTTCCCAGGCAGCCTCTGCACACAGGCAGCCATCACCCATAGGGCCAGGGCACAGGGCACAGCTCTGCTCCCAGCCAGGCTTGGAGCCTGGGGCTTCCCCTCTCCCTGTTGCTCCTCTGTAAGATGGAAGTAAGGCCTGCGTCCCCCTAGGACAGCGGTGGCGAACCTACTGTCCTAGAAGATTACCTAGAAAGCACTTGAGTCCAAGCAGACAGGCAAGATGGAACATTTCCCTTCCTTTTAAAATGCAGTGCTCCCTTTGCCCCACCTCTAGCTCAGAGAGTGAGCCAAGAAGTCCCCCAAAGGAAAATGAATTGTGCAAGCCCTTTCCTTTCGTGGAATGGGGACCGAATATCTGGGGAACACTGGAGCCAGGAGTCTGAGCACTAAAACAGATATCATGACCTTCCCTATTCCTCCCCCGACCCCACTGCCTGCACACCCTTAACTTGGAGCCCAAGCCTTTTTACAGAGATAGGGTGTTACTAGGGATTGAACCCAGGGTCTTTGCCTTCAACTACAACACCAACCCTTTTTATTTTTCATTTTGAAAGTCTCATTTGGTCACTTAGCCCAGCCTGGGCAACTTGGCAACTTAGCAAGAGCCTGTTTCAAAATAATAATACTAATGATTTTTTAAAAGAGCTAAGGATGTAGCTCAGAGCAAAGGACCTAAGTTCAATCCCCAGTACCACAGAGAAAGGAAGAAAGGGAGGGAGGGAGAGGGAGGAAGAGAGAGAGAGAGAGAGAGAGAGAGAGAGAGAGAGAGAGAGAGAGAGGGAGAGAGGGAGAGAGAGAGAAGGAAAGAGGTACCTGGGAGCAGAGGTGGCCTCCCTGACCCTCTTGATCATCCAATATGCTGCCCCTCAATTGGCAGGTGCCTGAGACCTGCTGGCTCTGGGACCAGCCCTTGCCCACTGCATATGTGCTTCTCGAGCTATTTTTTTTCTCCCAGTACTAGGGATTGAACCCAAGGCCTCCTCACTGAGCTATGTCCTCAGGCCATTTAATTTTGAGACAGGTTCTGACTAAATGGCCCAGGCTGGGCTCAAAGTAGTAATCCTTGGGCTTTGCTCCCACCTCCCACCCTGCACCCCTCCAGGGACACCCAGGCTCAGCTCAGCCCATGGCCCAGCCTCGCTTTCATGCCATCTGCATCCCAGCCCCTCCTGAGCCAGGGCCCCATCCAGGTGACCCAGTGCCGGGTCTCCCTTGCAGGGTTCTAGGAGCCAGGACTGAGGGCCGTGAAAGGGCCTGTGCTGTGTGTGTCTCTGTGCAGGTGACAGTGACACTGGCTGCAGAGGAGGCTGAACCAGCAGAGAAGTAGGAATCAGGGACACCAGGCTAAGAAGTACCTGGGGCTCCCATCTAAACCCTCACATATCCAACTGGTCCCCACACCCCAGCACAGTTCCTCCTGGGTGGTTTTGTCCATTTCTTCCCCTCCATTTTCAGGGTTACACTCGGGCTCGGGCTCACCATCTTGTACCTCAACCCCACCGTAGCTCAGTGCCAGCCCCTGCTCCCAGGTCCCTCTTTCCAGCCACATACTAACCAGAGCCATCTTTCCAAAATGAAAATCCAACCCTCAAACTCTCTAGTGCCTCTCCATCACCTACCAGTCATTTGTCAAAAATTTCTGAGCCATGCGTGGTGGCGCACGCCTGTGATCCCAGCACTTGGAAGACCGAGGCAGGAGGATCGCTGTGAGTTCCAGACCAGCCTGGGCTACATAATGAGTTCCAGGTCAGTCTCATCTACATAGTGAGACCCTGTCTCAAAAAACCAAAAAAGAAACAAGGTCTTCCTAAGTCACTAAGGTGCTCAGGCTGGGCTGGAACTTGTGATCCTCCTGCCCAGGACAGTGACCTGCTGCCCAGGGGGGTCATTCAGCAATAGCTACTGGCCACTTGTGTGCGTCAGGCACAGGGGAAAGAGCTGTATGTGCAAAGGCCCTTAGGAACAGGACAGAGGGGGTGATGCCGGAGGGGTAGGGAAACCAGCAAAGTAGCTCTCACAGTGTCGCAGGGAGACAGGATAGTGACTGACCCCACAGCCTGGTGGCAGGGATGAGGTGTAGACAGTGCTGTGCACCTCCCCTGAGACTGGACATAGGGAATGAAGAACAGCAAAGAAATTGAAAGCCCAGACTTCACCACCACCACCCCGCTCCCTGAGCCAGCAGCAGCGGACAAGCCACTTGGCAGCGCTGAGCTTGTCATGGCGCCAATGTTGTGAGGACCACACAAGCCTGCTGTGACAGTCAGACATCAGTGAGGCAGAAGAGACCACTTCTGTGTCAAAGCCACGATTCTCTCTTGCTTCTCCCGAAAAACATTTCGAGACATCTGGAGCTGGGCAGGTTGATCCAGGCCCGTAATCCCAGCACTCTGGGAGGCTGAAGCAGGAGCACAAGTTGCCTAGCTGGGCAATTTAGCAACTTCGAAAGAGCTTATCTCAAAGTAAAAATAAAAAGGGGCTGGGGATGAAGCTCAGTGCAAAGCCCCTGGGTTTGATCCCTTATACTAGAAAGAGAAGGAAACAGTCAGAAGACAGACAGACAGACAGAATCAGAATCAGAATCAGAGACAGACAGAAACATCGAGATCCAGGACAGCAGCTCCCATGTGGGAGAGCCTGCCTAAGGCCAACGCTAGCAAGAAGGAGGGGCTCAGCCACACCTGGGTTATCTCTTCCCAACTCCTGGCCTCAGCGGAATCATCTTTCATCAGCCTCCCAAGTAGCTGGGGCTACAAGTGCTGGGAGAAGCCTGGGACCACACTTTCTTCTGTCTGGTGGGTTGGTGGGTTCATTGGCTGACTGGTCTGCTGCGAAATGGACAGCACTTGAATTTCCTCAGTGCCAAGGGCCTGGCTGGGTTCTGTGACCTCGGGCAGGTCATAGCAATCTGGAGTCTGAGCTTCTGGTCCAGGGCTGAGGAGCTGGACTGGGCTGGGCTGGGCTCCACCCCAGTAGGTAGGAGAGATTTGAACCCGGGAGAGCAGCCTTCTCACGGCTTGCACCCCACAGGTACTCAGAGGAGGAGATTCAGCAGAAGGTCGGGACCTTCCGGCAGATGCTGATGGAGAAGGAGGGGGTGCTCACCAGGGAGGACCGGCCTGGCATCCATGTGTAAGTGCTCAGGGCAGGGGCAGGGGAGGGGCCTGTCCAGGAGCACTATCAGGTGGCTGGGGCTGGGGCTGGGAGGAAGACGAGGAAGAGGAGGGGGAGAGGACAGCACGGGACCTGCCCACTGTCTGGCTTGGGTGGGCACAAAATGGGCATCACCAAAGGCTGCTGCCCACCCCAAGCTCCTTCTGTGACTCAGAGATGGGAGGACTGATCTCACCTCAGGGCTGCAAATCAGGAAATTTCAGAAATGCACTAATCTCATCATTGTCATTCCTTGGCAGGGTGACCTCAGACCAGCCACTCTGGGCCACAGCTGTTCCCACCTGTACAATGGGCTCCCAAGGCATGAGACCTAGAAACACACACACCAGTGTCATTGCCGTCAGACCCAAAGCTTAGCAGATAAAGAGGATGTGGGCCTTGTGGAGGGCCTGTCTCTGCCACCTGTCACAAGACAGAAGCAGCGATGCACTATATAGGTCTCTAGGCAGGACTCTGGTCAAGTTACAGAGAGGTAGATTTTGCCTCAGAGTAGTGGAGGGCTGTGCACCACTCAGAACCAAACAGAAAACAGAGCAGGCTGCATTAGGGGGTGGGGGTGGGCTGTGCCTGCAGTGGGCAGTGCTGGAGGGCTGGCCAGCCCCATGCCTGACAGGCTGTGTGCTGCTGGATCCACTCTCTGGGCCTTCCTCTTGTTCAGCCTCGGTTTCACCCCAGTACCCACATCCCATGCTTCTCTGGCTGGAAGTAAAACTGATTCTGGGTGAAAGGTCAGGGCAATGGCTGCTGTCCTTCTTCTCAGCAGTGGGACTAGTTTGGGGAACAGGCATCTTGTTGAGACCCCAGATCCATGTCCACCTTTATCCCACAAAGACAAGCCAATAAAAAGCCAGGTGTGGTGGCACATGCCTGTATTCCCAGCACTTGGGAAGCTGAAGCATGAGAACCACTGTGAGTTTCAGGCCAGCCTGAGCTACAGAGTGAGACCCTGTCTCAGAAAACAAAAACAAACAAACAAAATAACCTTCCAAGTGAGTGTCCTGTTGTGGTCACCTTAAGGGCCAGGACCATATAGGAAGAGATAAACCTCCCGGGAGAAAGGGGAAGCTCTTCTGCAGCCCTTCTGTAATCCTGAGATGTCAGGGGTGGAGTATCATCCAAGCACCCCCAATAAACTGCATCTCTCTGTCCAGAATAGGAGCAAATCAGGAACAGCCTCAGGCTTGGAAAGTGACCTCAGGGAGCCAGCTCAGCCTGTCTGCTCTTTCCCCTCCTTTGGATCTGCAGTGAGAGTCCAGGGCTGGCCGCTGTCACTCCTTCTCTTCAGCCCTCAAGAGCTCCTGCCCTGGTCCCCCTCCTTGGGGACCTGGTTAGCTCCCTGCAAAGGCAGAGCCTGCCCTTCTCTCTCTCTTTTCAGTCCTGTTGGCCACCAGACTCTCCCCTCAAGCTGCTCCCAAAACCACCCCCAGACCAAGGAAGTCTTGGCTTTCTAACCTGCTCACTCAAACAGCCCAGAAAACTGCCCACCCTTCACTCTCCCATCCAGAGTGAGTGAGCACAACAGCCCCCTGGATTCCACCTTTTCCATCTTCCTGGGGTCTGCAGTGACAGACACCCCCACCTCCAACTCAAGCCCACATTTCTTCCCGCTCCCAGTTCCTACACTGAAGAAAGCATCTCCCCGTCTCTCTCCGCTCTGACACCGTCTCTAGCTACCAAGCCACACTTTCCTTGTATTCCTACAAAGGGTTTGCAGCATTCATTGTCTGCTTCTGTGAGCCATAGAGAGCTGGCTTCCCTGTGGGCCCTGGCCTCTCTCCAGCTTGCGCACCCCTTGTTTCTCACCTCTGGAAGCCCACTTTCTCTCTGGGCTTCCAACATGCAGTTCTTCTTTCAGCTTCCCCCAAAATTCTGCATGTCCCCAGGCCTCTGCCCCAGGCTTGCCTTCCCCGGGGGATCACATCCACTCCCAGCTGGAACTCTCCCTTGTTAACATGACTCCCAGCCTCTCCCTTTAGGCCTGATCTCGTCCTTACTTGAATGCATGAACAAATGAGTGAAAGACATTATCTAAGAACCCACTGGGAAATATGCACAGAGAGGCTGCTGTGTCCCCATCATGAGAAGAAGTTTCAGGCATGGCCTGATGCACACCTAACCCTGAGCCAGTGCCCCAAGGTGAGACAGAGAACAGGAGGAGGTGGTTTCCTGCTCTCCAAGTGGAAACACAAATCTGTCACTTGAACCCAGGACTCACTGACAACCCCTCACAAGAAGTAGCAACACAGCCACTTGAGTGGTACGGTCTTTAGGTCCCCTGCATGTTTGGAGGAGGAGCTGATGGGTCAGAGAGTGGTCAGTCACACGGGGCTCCCTGGAAGAAGCACTGGCTGGAAGACTCAAGAGTCAGGGGAAAGCTGTCAGTCAGAGGAATCTGACAAGATGTTCTGGAAGCTTAAGGCCCTGGGATCCCTCTGGAGTGTCAGTTGCACAAGGATCTTTATCAGTTTTGTTTACTTGTATCCTTGGATCCTAGAATACTGTGGCTTGCCCAATTTTCCCCAAATCCTGTTTCCCTATTTATGCAGTAAGAGGGTTGAATCAGAAGACATCTTTTAAGCTGGGTGTGGTGGCGCAGGCCTGTAATCCCAGCACTTGGGAGGCTGAGGCAGGAGGATCACTGTGAGTTCGAGACCAGCCTGGGGTACATAGTGAGTTCCAGGTCAGTCTCAACTACATAGTGAGACCCTGTCTCAAAAAAACAAACAAACAAAAAAATCAGAAGACATCTTTTAGTTCAGGCAGCCTAATATGGTATAAAAATAGTATGCTAAGCATCTGAGCATGTTGACGTATGCCCATAATCCCAGAAATCTGTCAGGCAAAAGCAGGAGGATCACAAGTTCAAACCCAACCTGAGCAATTTAGCAAGACTCTTTCAAAATAAAATAAAAATAAAAGGGCCGGGTATAGAGCTCAGTGTAAAGCCCTGGGTTCAATCCCCAGTACCTCCCCCACGCACCCTCAAAGAAATAAGCAAAACAAAAACAGAAGAACAAACGTACCCCAAGCAGGGACTGCAGCAGGCTGGAGAGGCTGACTGCGCCGAGGCACCAAACTGGGGAGCTGTTTGTGGTGCTGAAGCCAAGGCTGGCGGCCTCCAGAGCAGAGGGGTAAAGGCAGGGGAACCACAGCGACAGTTGGGCTGTGTGCCTTCTTGTGGGTGGACCTGGGATCTATCTGGGTCTTGGCTTTTTAGCTCACTTCTTAGCTGTAGAGGGAGGGGAGACAGATGTTCCTCTTGTCCAAGCCTCTAAATTCACAGTCTGGATCCCAGCTGGGCGGTTCTGACTGCAACAGCTCGTGCGGGCTTCACAACACTCCAGAAGCACTCTGTCCCCAGGGGTCACCCTTCCTCCACAGATTGACAGGTTTGAGTGTCAGTCTCTCGTGATCGTCCCCTCTCTGGCCTCCCTCCATACTGGACCCCAGAACACCATGCAACTGTACTGTGCAGACACACACAGTGGGTGAAAATTCAGGGGCCCTGATGATGCAGCTGGTGCTCTAACAGTGCTGCAGGGAAAAGAAAGGAGGAGTAAGATTCTGGGCACACTGAGAACACACGGCTTTTGACTCTGGAGATGATTTGGATGTGGAGAGTTCTCGTTTGCCACAGAAATCCTCTCTGGCTCCTTGGCATCCATTGGTTCAAATGCAAGTTCCTTTCCTGTCATTCAAGGCTCCCCACTCTCAGGACTCAGCCCAGTCTCTCTCTCTCTCTCTCTCACACACACACACACACAAACACACACACACACACACACACCCTCGAAGCACTCAGCAGCCAGCCTGACCTGATGGCAGTTCCTCTGCCTCCTGGATAGTTCCACATCCAGCCTTTGCTCATCCCAGACCCTCAGCCCAAAATATCTTAGCGCCTACCACACAAGTTCAAACATACCCCCCATTCAAGATCACCTCTAAAAATCACGTTGCTGGTCTGCTGGTCTCCCTCTACCTAGGATAAAAGAAAATCCTTCATTTTTTCATTTTGCTTGCTTGTTTGTTTTTGAGACGGGTCTTGCCATGTAGTTCAGGTTGGCCTTGAACTCACTATGTAGCCCAGGCTAGCCATGAATTTACAACAATACTCCTGCCTCAGCCTCCCAAGGGCTGGGATTACAGGCATGCACCAGCACATACAGGTATAAAGACTCTTTTCTTCAGAACAGGTACAGTGTTTTTGCTACTCTTTGTGGATGTCATCATTCTTTATTTCAATCTGAGAAACAACTTTTAAGGAAAAAAGTTTAGCCCAATCTGGGCAACACAGTGAGACCTCGTGTCAAAAATTAAAAAGTAAAAACAAGGAGCAGGGATGCAGCTTAGTGTGGAGGGCCTGGGTTTAAACCCCTGTACCCCAAAAACTTGTTTTTGGGCCAGGGATTTAGCTCAGTGGTTCCACTACCTGCATCACAAGTGCAAGGTCTTGAGTTTGATCCCCAGTACCCCCCCAAAAAAACCCAAAGTTGTTTTCATAGTTATATAACAAAATGTTTGAGAGAGAGAGTTTATGGAAAATAATATCTAGAAGCTATGTTCTAACTCAGAGTGAACAAATTCCAGTATTTTCCCAAGTTATTTAATTTTATACACAGTCTGGCCTCTGAGCCTCCTCATTATATCTACAAGGTGGGAATATTAACGCTGGCCCCTGTGTCACAGGCCCATTCACACGCTCTGATTAGACCAGGTGCCTGGCACCTGGGTCAGCAGTTATTGTAAGAGGCACCGAATCACTTTCTACCCAGCAGTGGGAGGTGCTGAAGCAGGGGCTCCAGGCCTGATTCAACCCTGCTCTGCCCGCAGCCACGCCTGGCCAGCCAGCTGAGCAGGAGCACAGGAGAGGGCCAACCCTTTGTCTGGAACCCCCTTTCTGTTGGGCCCACCCATCTGTCAATTGTCTGTTGTGCTCCTGGCTAATGGAAAGCAGGGGCAGTTAATTAACAAAATTGCTGGCATGAGGCAGCGCAGTCTTTATCGGGGTTGAGGCTCTGCCGTGGTGGCAGGTCCGACCCGTGTCCTACAAGGGCTTCATGTCCCACCTCAGCAAGTCCTTTGTCCGTCAGCAGCGGTCCATGCCTACTTTGGCCAGCTGTGCAGGACTCGATTGGTTTCAAGACAGGGTGATGCCTCTCCTACCCATTCCACAGAAGGGATGAGGAGTCCCCGAGATAGCGAGCATGAACTTGAGCGCATAAAATGTTACACAAATGTAAACTCTGCACACAGCAGCATCTACAAAGAAGGCGAGGGGGCGAGGGATGCGGCTCGGTGTAAGATGCTTGCTGACACACATGAGGCCCTAAGTTGGAGCCCAGGCACCACAAAAAAGTAAACAATTAAAATAATAAAGTAGGAAAGGGGCAACTGGGCCAAGGTCTGCAGCAGGCAGGTTCAGCCAATAAGTTCCAGGGCTGTCCTGTTTGCATGTAAATTGTCAAAACCAGCCGCATGGCTGAACTTACGTATCTTGCTCAAAGGTCCCAGGGCTATAGGGGCTGTACCTTTCCATCTCTGGGCCTCAGTTTTCTCATCTATAAAATGGGGGTAGCAGTTTCTCTAAATCAGGAAGTAGCTATAAATGGCATAGTGAACTACAGAGAACTATGTAACATTAGAGAACAGAAGTCTTAGTGATATTAGCATCCAGAAGCAAGACAGAACCCAAGGTTCTAGCCCTGGGACATACCACCCCCCCTCCCCACGCCAAAGCAGGTGTGATGGTACCCGGAGCCCAGAGCCAGTGAAAAGGGGGATGGGGTATAGCTCAGTGGTGGAGCAGATACTTAGCATGCTGAAGATCTGGGTTCAGTCCCCAGGACTGAGGGAAGGAGGGAGAGAGAGAGCAAAAGATGCCTCAGCCTCTAATATTCTCAGGGTAAATATTACCAGAAGGGCCAGGTATGGTGGTGAATGCCTATAATCCCAGCACATGGGAGGCTGAGGCAGGAGAATCACTGCAAGTGCAAGACCAGCCTAAACTACATAGTGAGACCTTGTCTCAAAAAAAAAAAATTTTTTTTTCCAGAAGGCCAGAGTTAAGGATGCGGCTTAGTTGTAGACCACTAGCCCAGCATGCACAAAGTCCTGGGTTTAATCCCCAGCAAAGGAAGAGGAGGAAGAGAAGAGAAAGGGGAAAGAGGGGAGGAAAAAGAAACCAGTTTTTGAAATCTTATACCTCGCTCAACTCTAGTCTGTTGCTGGAACCTTAAGCCGATTTTTCAATACAGACAAGAAGCCTGCAGTAGGGGCAGGAAAATGAGAGACCCTCTCCAGGGGGACAGATGGATGGGTAAGGAGGCAGGGAGTCTGGTTCCCTGGCCACAGAAAAGAAAGATGTGCCTGGGGGTGCAGCCAGCAGATTAAGGGGGGGACAGAGAAGGGATGGAGGAGCAGGGAAGGAGGCTCCAAGAGAAAGGGCTCTCAACAAGTGTCTGCTTTCAGTGGCTCACCAGAGTCCTGTGAAAGCACCGCCCAAATGCAGCTATTCGTTTTGTAAGGAAGCTTCGATTTTTCCGTGTCGGGATAAACTGGCACCCTCCTCCCACAGGCTCACCCACATGCTATCTGAGGTGCCCTTCTGTTTGGCTAAATACTATATTTTATGTGTCAGGCATCTGTACGGCTGAGGACTGTGTGGAGGGTAATGGGGAGGGTGGGGGGGCTGGACAGGCAGAGTGCGTTGGAGATTCAGGGACAAGGACAGGAGGTAGGAGGCCACCAGCTCAGAAAGAGAAATGTGGGGAAGGGCAGAGAGGTTGGAATGAAGGGATATGGGGGTGTCTGGCTCTGCAGGGGCCAGAAGATGACATCAGTCTTTCTTGTCACCCCAGAAAAATCTACCTACTACTCGAGGCTCTCAGGGCCACCTTGGTGCTGGGAAGTGGATGACAGTCTTGAGATTGGCCTCAAGGCTACTGACCCATGTCACATCGTATTTGAATTATCCCCCCCATACTAGGGATTGAACCCAAGACCTTCCCACTGACATACATCCCCAGTCCTTTTATTTTTTATTTTGAGACAGGATCTCAGTAAGTCACTAAATTACCCAGGCTGGGCTTAAATTTGCAACCTTCCTGCCTCAGCCTCCCACAGTGCTGGGATTACATGTGTGCACCACAGGGCTGAGGCCCACACTTCTGCACTTGACACACTCTCTCTCTCTCTCTCCCCCTCCCTCCCTCCCTCCCTCCATCTCTCTCTCTTTTAAATACAAAATCAGTCCCATATTGTTAACTAGCATGATCCCCTGCTGGAGATTTGTCCCTTAAACTCTTCTTGCCCTCTGCAGCTGTGGCCTGCTTCTCTTGCCCCTGCCTCTGTTTTATGTACCAAAGCTTCTTTTCTCCCTGAAAGAGACCCCCGGCCTATAACAGCTACCGGGTTCAGGACAACAGTCATGGGCTGAGGCTAGTGTCAGGGCTTGCTTCACAAAGAGAATCTCACTTAATCCCCTGCTCAAAGCTGGGATATTCTTTTCCTCCACGTAGAGATAAGGGCCTCGAGGCTTGGACACGTGACCGTGCCTGGTTTCAAACCTGTCTGAATCCAAGGCTCATGCCCTTAATGCTGTGCCATCCAAGCCCAGCCTCCCTCACCCTGCTTTATTCAGGGAGGGTGAGCCAGGCAGGCAGCACCCCCAGAGTGAGGGAATTCTGGGGAGAGCAGGGCTGAGGCTCTTTGTGGGAGGAGCACTGTCAGAGCATGACAAATGGCAACTGGAGGTGAGGGCAACAAATGGAGATGAACAGTCACATCCGGGGTCCAGTCACATTGGAGCCAGGCCTCAGAAGGCCACTTCTAGACTTGTTCAATTAACAAACATAAGAAAGCTGAAGTTTTGTCAGGCCTGCAATCCTAGCACTCTAGGAGGCAGAGGCAGGAGGATCCGAAATTCAAGCCCAGCCTGTGTAACTTAACCACTTAGTGAGACTGCCTCAAAAATGTAAAAAAGTCTGGGTATGTAGCTCAGTGAGGAGGCCTTGGGTTAAATTCCCAGTAAAACACACACACACACACACACACACACACACACACACACACACACACACAGGAAAGCTGCTGAGCAGCCACTACCTTATCAAATTTTCCCAATTGTCCTGTAACAGTTATCACTCATCTGGCAGGAGAGGCTCAGAGGGGAATGGCGGCCTCAGATCACATAGCGCTGGCTCACTCGGTGCAGGGCAGCATGAGGAGGATTGGTCTGACGGTTCAAAGCCCCTGCTCGCTCTTGCCTTAGGGCAGCTGCTGCTAGGGGGAAAAAAATAAAACAATTAAATTAAATTAAGCAACCCTCTCTGAGAAGGGTCTGCAGGGATAAACATCTGCGCCAGAGGATGGCTGGGGCTCCAAAGCCAGAGCAGGGACAGGAGGCAGCCAGTCCCGGCTGGGCAAAGCCCGGACTTGCGCAGATGCACTGGGATGGGAGGCCTCAGGGCTGAGAACCTTCGGCGGCCGAGATTGATGAGGACAGCCGGGCAGGCAGAGATGAGCGACGAGGCCTCCGGAGGCTGCGGAGGGGAGGAGGGTGAGGGGAGGCCATGAATATTTCAGAGGCTGAGTCCGGA